GTTAATTTCCTTTTAACTTGAATAAAAACTAAATTAATTATTGAAACTGGTGAGATCGATATTTTAAAGACTTATTGAATTAATTTAGATATTCTATCAATTAAAATGGAAGTGAGCAATCTGTGAAACATTTTTGTATTGACATTTCACTTATTGAGGTAAAGAGTAGAAGCAAGAAAAAAAAATAAAAGAATTGATTTTATTGTTTATATTATTTCAAATACTAAGTTTTTTTTTGGTAAAGAAAAAAAAAACTTCGTATCAAAATACCATATTTCATATATATAAAACATTTGATGAGGAAAGAGAGTCCTGTGAAATATCAGGGATTCTTCTCACAATAATTGTTAAGATTTATTTTACGTGTTAAATCACGAAAAACCATTTTAAAATATATTTTCTCTATTATAGAGATCGAAATAACTCTTACGTCATGCTGCTTAGCAAACATTGATAAGAAAAAAAAAATGTTTACTTACATATTCACAACAAAATTAAAAAAAAAAAAAAAACTTTGCCTTTTCATTTTCTTCAACGACAACTGAATCATCTAGAAAGGATTGAGATTCCAGTTAAGCATTTGAGTTGGATGTTAATTTAAGTGGTGTCTAATGTAACATCAACCAAGGTCGAGCAAACTAAGTTAATCTAAAAGTTGAAACAAAAACTATAATGTGTATGTTTGAAAAATTGTTTGTATGACGTCAAATGAAAATTCTCATTTTTCGATAATTTAAAATAAGAAATAAGTATGTGTAGTTTTTAGCTCAAGGTAGGTTTAGAAGGATTTTAACGCCAACCCAAATATAATCAATATCATGTTAGATATTGTTTCTGTATTAGGAGACACACCTTGTTGATCATTCGATTATTACGATCTCAGCTTTGAGTCGAGATCATCGCTGCGTAATTCGAGGTAGAGGGAGTGTCTGCAAAAAACACTTCGACGCTCAAGTCAATAAGGGATCGACATATTAAATGTAGTAGTTTAGAGTCAATTACGTACTTATTGAGCGTCTATTTATACTGGTTGTAGTTGGATCATGACTAGGGAATGGGTCTCGGAAAATTAGAAGATTAAACCGGTATATTATGTAAATTAATCTCATCATAATTCATATTGCCTAATTTCTCGATCAAGTATGTCGATCCTGTTAACTGAATCGGTCAATCACGATATTACCGAGTCGACCAAATCGACTGCCTTAAATGTACTCGGCCGAGTCGACCATTGGCTATACTCGGTGGGGTCGGCTACCTTCCCGTATAGATACCAATAAGGTTTGCGTCCGTTCTGCAACTTCAGTGTCAACTCTCGAACACAGTGTCAACGCTTTTTTGTTGCCAAATTAGATCGATCAACATTTTGAACACAAATATTTAACTTAACTTTGAAGAGTCACGTAGTTGACAGATACTAAAGTTGATTTAGGATCGACTTTCGTGTTTTAGTATAAGCTTTTGGCTGATGATATAACACAATTCACGATGTTCAATTTTTTATTTTTTATTTTTATTTTTTTGGTCTTTTATTTGTTTTCTTATTTTTCCATTTATCAAAAGAAAAGAAAAAATGCATCCATTATTCAAACTAACAATAACAATGACTCGCAAATCATGACTAATCAAATAAGGACGGAAGGAATATAATAAATAGTTCAAACGTAATGTGGATACAAGAAACCAATATATTTTAGTTGCCACATGCATCTATTTTATAACACCAACCCAATTATTTATTTGTCGCAATTTCTGTCTATTTTTTAAGTATAATAAACCTGATGATTGTAGTTCTATTCTTTTTATTTTATTTATTGAGAACGTTATTCAAAACTCACTTCAAAATTCAACTATTTGAAATCAAGTTGATGATGAAGTAAATATTTGTTTTTTTAGGACGATGATGATCAAGTAATTCAAGAAGTTCTCAATGATAGAAAAACAACAACACAATAATCAAAAGTATAAAGTAGGCAGCAAAACAATAAACAAATAAATGATAGAAAATAATCACAAAAAATATATATATTTTTAACATAGAAAAATTCTCTCGGTGTAAGAAGTAAAAACTTACAAGTACAAATCAATCAATCAAACTTCACTATGATCAAATAAGAGTACAAGAGAGTCTAATTAAATGCATAAACAAATGCTTATAACTAACAATAATAAAGAAGAAATTTCAAATTAAAGCAACTGTGCAAAATTGATTTCTCCAACTACAAACCTTAAATGCACGATCCTAACAATCAAAATGAAGATTCCGTGTTAAGGACCTGTCGTTGAATTTCCAGTCTGATCCAATGGTAAATGAAATGAAAATCACAATTTTACTAAAACTATTATGTGTATGCGAACCAAATTTTATGCTCTCTTTCTCTCTCCCAACGATTGTGTAATTCACTCTGTAGATCCCTCTCCACTTCATTTTTAAGGGAAACAAAATTTAGGTCATATAAAATTTGAATTTTTTTATACACATATTTGGCAACTCAACTCAACACTCAATATCTAATTTATTTTAAGTTCATACCTTAGATATTCAAACATAAGCTATTTTTCAACTCCAACTAATTTAAATTAGGCTGCATTAATTAAGATTTTATTTTCAAATGAATTAAGATTGACCCAGAAAGAAGGAATTAATAAAGATAAATCTTATTTTTATGACAGGCATTCATTAATGCATTTTCTATATTTTTATTATTTTTGAAGACAATTTTATTTAAAGTATGGTTGAACTAAACGTGAAGACCTTTTTCAGCAAGAATTCAAACCTTATTTCACCATATTAGGAAGAATTAACTCTTTCGCATTTGCTAGATATAATAACTATCGGTAATAACTTATAAGTTAAGTTAGTCTTCTGATCTCTTATTTTATTTACTTAATTATTAATTTAATTTGATTCCTATATTATTGAAATGTTTAATTTTTAATTTTTAAAATGATACAATCTGATTTTTATGACGTTAAATTTTTGTATATGTAACTATGCGTGTTATTATTTTTATATTGTCAAATTTTCACACTAAATTTTTTGTATATGCGGTCCTTTCCCTTATTATTTTCTTTATTATGCAAATATGGAGGTTTCCGCCCTTTTTATAGCTTTTTCAAAGTTTTTTTTTCATTTTCATTTTGGTTTTTGTTTTATTTTTAATCTTTTTTGCATTTTCATTATTTATTTTTTACAAACATTGTTTTAATTTTTTTTTCTCTATTTGATAAAATAATATAGAAATATGTTAAATAGCCCGGTACTTCATTAACTTTTTATATAAGTAAAAAAATGTTTAAATCTTTGGATTAAATTATAAGAAAATTTATCCAAAACAACTTTCTTTAATGCTTTAAATCTAAAAATAACTCTAAAACCGTAAGTAAAAATACTATCTACAATAAATATGAGTAAATATATTTTTAAAAATATAGTGTATATTTTATAAAAATTAAAAATATTTAATTAACTTTCTTAATTTATACGAAATCATATTATTTTGCTTATATTGGTTCATAAGAAATAATATAGAAGTTATAAATAGTAAATATATGAAATATTACCTTAATACATAGTAAAACATGAAAATAATTATATAGCAATAATTTATATTTATGTAAATCATTATTGTATTTGTTAATTGCAATTTAAGTTTTCCAATGTATGTTATATATCTATTTATAAAAAATATTAAAAGTTAAATATGATAATTTAATTATTAAATATTTTATTCCTGAATAACTTCCCTGCAAATAAAAGGGTGGAAGACGTATAAATAACTTTATATAATTAATATAAGTAAATAAATAAATTTATATAATTAGAATAAAATATTTAATAGATAAATTTATCTGATTAACTTTTAATTATTTTCATACAAATTAATATAAACATATACTTAGGGAATAAAAATGAAATTAACAAATAAAGTAATAATATATATAATATATTTTTAATAAATTATACAAACCAAATAACTTAATAACTTTTGGTAATTGTGGAGAAGGATTATGGATTCAAATTCCACTTTTATTATTTTTTAAATGTTTAATAATAATTTAGAGGTCAATTGTGTGAATTTGTTAAAATAAGACCAAAATTCTGGATAGTTAACTAAGGTTAGGACAAAATCGTGAAATTGTGTAAGTTTAGCATAAAAACGCGTGAGAAAAATTTGTAGGGCTTAATTTGTAAGATTTTAAAAGTTAGCTAAAAGAATTGCAATTAAATATTTTTAATTTTAGAAACTACGCGATGATCATTATCATTCAAGAACTATTATTTTTATATTTTATTTAGTTGAAGGAGCAATTTGACTGTTGATTATGAATTCTAATTTTAAAAACTAAATTGATTGATAATGTTTGATTTCAAGATCATTTTGTCACTTTATTAATTTTAGATACTAATTTGAACAAAAATTACAATTTTTGAGACTAACAAATTCTTTTAACTTTAATTTTTTTATGAATTAAAAAAATTGTTATTCACTGATCAGGTTTCAATTCTCTATTTTTTTATTCATAGAAACCCCACTTGTATATGCATTTTCAATCAATTGAGGTGATCGGGCCATTTCTTTTTGTTTACTATATTTTTTAATTTTTAATTTAGTGCGTATTTAGATTCTCGTTGATGATTTATGTTTTAGTAATTTTTCATGTTAAAATGTATAAAAATAATAGATAATTATTTCTTTATCTATGTTTGAGGTTTGTGGATAAGAATCCACATGCACTTATTGTGTGCTAAACGTAACAACAATAATTTTAATGGCTTGTTATTCTTAGGAGATTTTTTAAGCATAGCACAAGTGCTAAATCAGTTAGCCAAAATAATAAATAAATGAGATCATCATGCATTAATTAAGAGCAAGATTATATTTTTAAAAGGAAATATAGAAAAGATTAAATTTAATCGACTTACAGATATCCATGTTTCTATATATACGTGAGTGTGCTATACGGGTTTGATTACAATGAAAAGAAATATAGAAAATACTTGAGAAAGGAGAGAAACGGTAAAAGAAAAACAAGAATGGAAGTGACACAAGTACTGCACATGAACGGAGGCACCGGAGAAACAAGCTATGCAAACAACTCCTTACTTCAGGTATATATGATTGTAATAACAAGTAAAATCATCCCTCTTTTTCTCTCTGTTGCACCGGTAATTGTATGTTCATATTAAGACAAATATTAGCAAGGTTAAGAAACTTTGATATATAATAGCAAAAAGCTATACCCAGAGGAAAAAACAAAACAAAACTGTGCAGAGAGGAAACTTTACAGTGGAGATTACAGTAGCATGGATAAAGCTTCTCCTTAAGGAGGTGCTTTTCATAAGAATCAAGACAAAAACTTTCTTGTGATAGTATTTTTATACCTTGTTTTTGCATGATTCCACTAGGCCGAATTCCTTTGGTACGTATACGTAGAAAATTTGTGTACCATGGCCAGTGTAATACAAACATACTAGTTCCTTTGTATTATTATTATTATTATTATTTATGTGGAACAATTCCTTTGTACTGTTATATCATGGTATTGGTTGGAACTCAGAATGAATATTACTGCAGCAAAAGGCGATTGCTTTGACAGAGGGTATGAGAGAAGAAGCCATAAGCAGCCTCTACCGCAGCATGGTGCCGAGACACCTAGCAATTGCGGACTTGGGATGTTCTTGTGGGCCAAACACACTCTTTGTGATATCTGAAGTTATAAAATCGGTGGAAAAGCTTTGTGTAGAACTGAATCATAAGTCTCCCGAATACCAGTTCTTCATGAATGATCTCCCCGGGAACGATTTTAACAGCATCTTCAAGTCCCTTGATAGCTTCAAACAGAAACTGAGTAATGAAATACACGCTTGGACTGGTTCGTGCTTTTTCAATGGGGTTCCCGGTTCTTTTTATGGTAGAATCTTTCCCAGCAAAAGTTTGCATTTTGTCCATTCCTCCTACAGCCTTCAATGGCTATCCAAGGTATACTCTTAATATCATACACCATTTCTCTCTCCCTCTTTATTTTTTGTCCTACACAATTTTTATTTTCAGTTTATTGGGTTAAAGACTAACCCCAGAAAAAAAAAAAAATCTTTTTTCCTTTTACCTCTCTAAATTCCAAAAATTTCTATCAGTATGTATCTACCTAGTTAGAACATAATTTTTCTTGAAGGTGATCAAGTTTCGAATAAATTTAATCAACTAATCTAAAACAATTAAAAAAATCAGATTAGATAGTATAAAGTCTTGATTTTTCTCTTTGGTGTGTTGTGTGATTTCATTCGCTTCAATCATTAATAAGTATAGGTTGGATCAAATTAAAGGTCTCAACTTATCTTTTTAATTAGTTAAATTTTTATTTTTATTAGGTAAGATTTGAAATTAAATATAATTTTTGCTATATTTTATATCTTTTTATACGAATTTGTATTTAAATGAGATAAACAATTTGTTATTTCAATAATAGAAAAGGATAATAATTTGACTTTAACTTTTCATAAGATCCTATCTATGCCTAATTTTAACTTTTCAATTAAAAAAAACTTATCAATTTATATATAGTTTACTTTGTTTTTGGGGGAGTTTGGGTTGCTATTAAGTAAGATTCAAATAACACTGATATAACTGTGATCAATTATTACACTACTTAATAATTTTTAATTAAATATGAATTTTGTTAATCTAACAGTTGAATTATAATTGCATATCATTTTGTATATGTATATTAATTTTTTTTAAAATTGAACAATAATTTGAAAGTAATCAAAATATTGATATTTTAATATATCTTGAAATGTATATATTATGTCAATTTTGTTATATAAGAATGAAGTATCAAATCATCTTCGATTAATATAAAATTTTGTATATAAGATCTAAGAGTAAAAAATTTTCAACCTAACGATAATTTTTGAAAAAGTTCACATTTAATTAAAAGTTATCGAGTGATGTAATAGTTGGTAAAAGTTACAACAGTGTCATTTTAACCCTCTTCTCCCCCTCTGTCTCTATATCTATCTATCTATCTATTTATATATATATATAT